TTTTTTGTAATTCCTCTTAAACAAATGATAGAGGCAGTGACTTACATTTTGCCAAACACCAAAGGGAAGGACTTTAATATTGGTCAGCTTAACTTGGCTTTCCTTTATATACCTGTCACAGCGGAGATACCCGTATGTGAATAACAGACCAACATTGGATAATTTATTCCCTCTGTAATTTATGGGGACAATTCAGCTCCACTTCATTACTAACCAAAACACTGGTCTGGATGTGTCACCGACATATATCGGGATGTCCGGCCTTCTTTCTGCCAACACTTTCAGTGTGGGATAACTATAAAGGAAACAGAAAAAGTCAGTGCCCTGCACTGTAAATATAAACACCCTTCATTTCTGAAAGTTGGTCTCTTTGTAGATTTTGTATTTGAGGTTCTAGCCAGTAGGAATAAAAATATTTAACGTTCCAAAAATGTTTTTATTTCTCTCAGGAGCTCTGAAGAGCTGTTCAAAGCAGAGAATAGAAGTACTTAAATTTGGCTACATTAGATTAACATAATACCAAGTCAGACATTTACGTGAAACAAAAAATAATTATTCTTTGAGTAAATTGAAATATTGTGTAAAACATTTTAAGTAAGTAAGTAATTTTAGTAGTGGTAATTTTGGTAATTTTACACTGATCATTTTGTTTCTGAGAGTAAGTACACTGTACTGACTGGCCAGATTGCAGAGTGCTCTACATTACTTTTGTAATAATTTGTAATTAATTATAATTATTTTTTAATTAAAGGATGTAAAAGTCTTTTTACATGCTTTAATTTAAGGACAGTATACCTTCTCTTTACTGTGACTGTATGCAGCTAGTGCTGTTTTCCTCTTTTTGATTTTGCTTGCAGCTGGTCATGGATCAAGTATTGTAATGTATATTACAATATTGCGCCATAAGAAATCAATAAAATTCTGTGTAATCAAGATGAATAGAACAGCTGAAGTAAAAACTGTTTGTAGATACTATACTGTGTTTGCTCTGAATCATTTACTTCAAACAAAAATGGCAGTAATATGTAATGCATATTTTTATGTATTTAACAATATTAGCAGAGCTTGCCTGAGGTGGTCTGAGTGCATATGGCTGATGTAGATGAGATCTGCACCACAAAGCCTGTCCAG